TCTCTGAAGAGACCTATTTGAAGAAGAAGCAAAAAACACTTGTGAGCTAAAATGAACGAATGAATGAATAAATAAATAGATAAACAAATAAAGTTACCAAAAACCACCCAGGTGGGACAGACCAACTGACAGATACTGAGCTTATTCTTTTGGAGAATGCCTAACATATGCATTTGTCAAGCATACAGATAGAAGCATCAAGCGAGAGTGAGTTACTTGTTAAGTCAATGCACAGGCGCGATACGCGCGAATGGCGCAGCGCGAATGAAGCGTTTTGCATGTTTGATTTAAAAATCTGAACTTCAGCGGACATTCGCACCGCGTTAAACAATCAGGAGCTTGCACTTGTGGGGGCGTGATTATGACGTAGTGCCTGTTGTTGGTGTCCTGGGGGGGAAATCCTCCTGCACACACCGGCAACAGTTTATCAAACTGGGCTCAGCTCAGTCAGAAGCACTGCTGAATGCTTCCATCATCCAAGTTAAGTTTCTGGAGGAGTTTATGAGCTCACAGAGCTGGGTGCACCTCTGAAAGTATCTAGTGGACTTCTATGATAGACAAACGAATGACGAGAAAATGCACAATCCTGTCACACATTTTGTATGTATTGTATGTTTTCCTGGGTTCCAAAAACTCATTCATAAGACATGAAACCTTCTAAAGACATTTCCTGATATTAAACATCTATAAACAAGAGGAAAGAAAAGAAAAAATCATTGTTTTGTGCCGTTTTCATGGAAAGTCCCTCTGAACTTTCATAAACACCAACGCTAAAACCATTATCACCGATAAGTTGCCAACTGGCCTTGATTCCTTCCTTTAGAGCAGCTCTAACCATTTCCTTATGCACTCTCTTTACATGCGTTAAACCATCACAAATCTACTAGCTAACATCCTTTAAGCCATTTTCCAACTGTACAAACCAAATGCGAGTAAATCTGCAGATACTGTGTGACATGTCACGACGAACAGCAGACTTCACGAACACTACCCACCTCGATAAAAATGTCAAAAATCATTTGACTCCTCCTAAATCAAGCTTTTCCTCCAGTGTCCAGGCAGACTGAAAACATCTGTTCATCCCCTCATTTAATCATGTGAGGTGATACTACAGCAGTAGGATTCCAACAGATGAACAATGCACACACTCAAAAAAAGACACATCATTCGTCACATACAGTACACACACACACACACACACACGCACACATATATACATATACATATATACATATCTATCTATATATATATATCTATCTATATATATATATATATATATATATATATATATATATATATATATATATACACACACACACACACATACATACATACATACATACATATATTTATATATATATATATATATATATATATATATATATATATATATATATATATATATACACATATATATATATATATATATATATATATATATATATATATATATATATATATATATATATATATATACATATACATATACATACACACACACACACACACGCACGCACATATACATATATACATATATATATATATATATATATATATATATATATATATATATATATATATATATATATATATATATATATATATATATATATATATATACACATACACAAACACATATCAAATGGGCAAAGCTCAATAAACTAAAAAACCAAACCAAAACATGAAATGTGGTGGTTGGCGAATGCTAATCTGGTCCTGGCTTAAACACGCTGAGCTCACGGTCTGTTTGGGGGGGAGAGCGGCTCTGAGGGGGAGCGGGCGAGAGATCTGGCAGGTTTAGTTAGTGCTGTTTACGCTGAGAAGCGACTCAAAGAATAGCTGAAGATTCACCCTTGAGGAAGAAAAAGGAAACGGTTAGAACCAGTGAGAAATGCTGTGGTTAGTATTGAGGCTTCACCAGGACCCCATTTGAACACACAGTGACAACACTCCTGAAGATGAGAGGAAAACCGGATATAATTAAAAGAATAAGGCAAATGCAGAAAACTTCATAAACATCTAGCTGTGCTTGATCCTCTGAATCCTATGTTTCATAATTTATAGGATGCCTCTGAGACGCATCCCTTGAAGTATAGTGAAATGCTCACTGTTTATGCATTTGTAATGATGCTCTAAAAGTTTGCCTAAGATCACAGATATTCAGCTAACTCCGCATGAGAGTTTTATCCTCTACTACCTCAATGCTTGCTTCTTTATACAACAGCTACTAAATTCACACTGTCATTTTGGCCTGTGCTTGAACTGTAATTATATCTGCAGAGTATGTAAAGCCCTGCTCACATGCTGCAATTTCAGAAACGATTTGGTCATCTGAGACATATTTGGGAAATCTTAAAAGATTCCTGTAATTCCAGGCTGAAATTTGAAGTCTTCGATGATTGGTTTGACAGTTTCCTCCAGTGAAGATTTTTTTATTTTATTTGACGGTTTCAGACTCTTTCCTGCTGTGTGACTTCAACTACAACTATAAACCAAGAAGAGCACCAAATCAGATGATGCAAACAGTGCAACAACTCGAACAACTTTGAAGATAGGCCCAAACAATTCTTTTTGGTTTTATTATTGAGGCATGTTGCAAGCGAAATTAACATCACATATTGTTTACGTTTGCTGAGGTATTATTTCTGAATACAGGTTATTGATTGTGTCATGGATGGATGATGTCAAACTCTGGAAGAGTTTTCTTGCTGGTCCATGTTTGCCTCGTCTTTCATTCGTTTGGTCATTATGACAACTGAAATCTTAAGGCTGGTTTATACTTCTGTGTCAAGTGATCAGCTTAAACCACAGCGCCTGCCTTGCACGTAGCTGTGCATTTATACTTCTGAGTGCTGTTTGTGTTGCTCGGCAATAACACTTCCGAAAAGCTAGCTGGCAGTAGGTTTTTATGTTCCTCTGTGTCAAGTTTCTTCACAGGTGTTTTGTTTTTTCTTAACGGTAGCTAAAACTAGCTAATTCAAAGGCAGGAACCGGAATCGTTTTAATCATAATAAAAATGCAGTGTCGGTCTCATTTTAAGTGGAAAGAAATCTCTTCAAATAAACAAAGTAATGTTTTGTCCAAGCTATTTAATTTAGGGATGGCACTTTACAATTTCACAAAGAAACATGCAGCAGTAGCCTAATAAAAGGACAGCTTTGCATTTGTATGAGGTCTTCAATTTCAATCCAATAAAAAATGAAAACCTGAATTGCATCATTACATCCCTATTAGATAAATCACTCTTCTGAGCAGTAATAGTCTACTAGCTCTTTAATAAAACAACCTGCAGAAAGAAAAAAAATGGCTGGATGCAGCCTACATTAACATAATTATTATTGTTATTGTTAATAATTTTTTTCCATTAACAGGCAATATGATGAAACATATTGGTCCATTAAGCACACATGCAAAATCAAAAAATATTTTTATTATTGAAGCTGCAAAGGGAATCTTCTAAACTATATCTGCACTTTACTGCTGTTTACACAGATCTAAAGGCAATGCCACATTTGGCTTCACTTTTATTTTCACTTCAATTATTTTGCACTTATCTTGAATTTCTTGTTCCTTTTGGTGGCATTTTGCCACATTCATTTCCAAAACTGAGGTTGTATGCAGGTTATAAATGCTCAACAGCCAAAAACATATTCAGGAGATAGACATCATTATTATTAATCATTTATTATATTTTTACATTATGAATAATTTATATTATATATTATTTAATATTCTAATAAATTAGCAGGGCTTTATTTATTTATATATTATTAATTTTTTTGAATGGCCAAACAGGTTAATTCTAAAATGATTAAAGAGATAGTTTAGCCAAAAAATGAAAAGTACCAATCATTTAATCTCCATTGTGCAGTTTTGAAGCTTTGTGGGTTTCTTTCTACTACTGAACACAAAATAAGATATTCTGAAGAGTGCTAGTTCCCCAAATGCATTGATTTCCATAATAGGAAAACAAATTACTATTGAAGTCAATAGGTCAACCAGCATTCTTCAAAATATTTTCTTTTATGTTCAACAAGTTAAGGGTGAGTAAATGATGACTATCCTTTTAACTCCATCCATTTGTATCACCTGGTGAACATATTGCAAATTATAGTGAATAAAAAAGTATTTTTCCTCAACAGCACTAACTGTAATTTAAATTTGCATTTCAATTTAACACCAATGAATCACACAAGACAAAGTCTAGTGTCATTTGTGAGCCGCTCTATGGCATATGGCTGTCACAGCAGTGCTTGGCCACAGTGGGAACAGAAGGCTGCGCTAAAGCTGATCAGGCCAACCAGTTTTCAGGTGTAAACAATGCCACAGGGCGTGGACTCTGAAACTTTTACAAGTCGCAAAGTCAACATGGAGGCTGAGGCAGCTTGCAGGTAAGAAGGCACACTGGCCGTCAGCCAAAACCGCCATTCAAAACACGACTGTGATGAGGGGAAGCTTCCTTAAGCCTTTTATTACTGGCTGCAATTCACTCCTCGGTAAACAAATGAGGAGAACCGTCCAATGGTTACGCCTCACCGGGGCTGAACCGAGAAATGTGTGCAGGGCAAATGTGCAAGCGTTTGTTCTCACAGAAAAACCTCCCTGAGAGTGGAGTATGACACAAAGATGTGCGCTTCATGTTATCTAACCTTTTGCTAGCGTTATCTGTCAGTGCTGCGGGTGAGGATTTTCCACATGCTAAAAAAACAAACAAATGTGCCGTTACTGTTTTCTTTTCAGGCATCTGTGGGAATAGCCTATGCAAATGCAAAACACACATTAACACTCCCTCTAATGTGACATGATCTCTGTTGCAACATCGCTTGATGTCACTACCACGGCTTCGTTTCAAGATAACATCATCTTTGCACTCTGCCCTAAAACTGACAGGAGATATGATCAAATCCTGCATGAAGTAGAATGTAATAGTGTATGTAATGAATGCAGACATGTGTGGATGGGTGTGTGGAGGTCGTAAGAGTTTTAAAGAGAGGACTCACCTTCTCCAGCTGTTGTCAGGCGGAGGAGAAAGGTACATCGTTCCATACGGAGAGCTCTCAGCGTAAGTTCAGTCAAGGAAATTTAAGGAAGCCTTTATAAAAACACACATGCTTGAATTGTTGTTTATATGATATTAATACATCTAAAAAACCTTTTAATTTCTCATAACATTTTTTTTACCATCTGTCCAGATTAGGTTTTTACTTGATTCAAATTTTCAGTGCATATTAATTTAATTTAATGTTTTTAAATAGTTTTCTTTTTGTCATCAGAAAACAAACAATTGCAATAAGTTTAAAAGTTCTGGCATTCGAAGGTTCACCAAGTCTACATTTGATTATGAAACATTTATAACTATCAATGCTGAAAAAAAAATTACATTAATTTTAAAACAGAATGTTAATAAATTTAAAGAAAAAAAAAAGAGGAAGAAAATCATACTGATGTAAAGCTTCAACAGTATTCCATACATGTAGGACTCAGGTCAATGTTGCAGTACAATAATGCACAGAAAGATTCTAGATCTAAAACATGCATTTACTAAATAGAAAAGAATGTTCTCAAGATCACAACTTTTACTTCTTGTGATCTTAATACGAAATAACAAAAAGTGTTCTGGAAAAAGCACAAGCTTAATGTAATTTGCACAATTATAGATGTACAAATTCATTTTTACTTCAATTAGAGACCCACACAAGCTAAAATCACTGTCTGTCTACAAGTGTTTTGCCATAAAGATTAGACAGGAATCGTTTATGCATCATGTCTCATTAAAAAAAACAAGCCCAGACAAGGATAGGTGCAAAAGAAAAAAAAGCTTTCAATAAAGATAGTACTATATTGACCTTAATCTGCAATGCGAAAGTGTGCTCCGCTTTACGATTGTTTTAGAACAGGGGTGTCCACACTTGGTCCTGGAGGGTCGGTGTCCAAGAGAGTTTAGCTCCAACCCTAATCAAACACACCTGAATCAGCTAATCAAGCGCTCACTAGGTATACTAGAAACTTCCATGCAGGTGTATTGAAGCAAGTTGCAGCTAAGATCAGCAAGACATCGGCCCACCTGGATCGACTTTGGACACCCTTGTTATAAAACTCCTGATTTAGGGTGCTTTCATATCTGTAGTTCACTTTATTTGGTCCGGACCAAGGGTAATACATGATATATTGTTGCATCTTCTGCCGTCTTTGGGTCGTTTTCACACCACACTGCTGGCTTTGGTCCGAACCAGTTGAAACGAACCAAAATGCAGTCATGTGACAAAATCCATATCTCTCATTGGCCAGATGTTGTTGAACATATTTCCAAAACTACTTATTGATTGGCCAGAATTCACGTGCGGGAAAACGCCAGTGAACTCCCGCAGGTAAACAAAACCAGCAGACACAAAATGTCGCTTTTACTCTGGAGGGACGACTGCGCTGGCTGATTGTATGCCTGCTTTAGACAAACTATACATTACGAAAAAGTGTTTAATGCATCGCTCGTCACTTCAGGAGGAGGCGTGAATTAATTTAGCTAAACTGTGACATAGTCATCTTGCGGAAATATTACCAACGATCCATCGGGTAATGTTTTTCCCTCTCTGTTGGTAAAGCGCTGTCAACAAATATTTTTCCTCCATATCCCATAATGCACAGCGCATCGGCCTACGGCAGCTGAATTGGTCCAAAACACGCAGTCCTTTGTGCGGTTGGACCTGTTTTAGTACGCATCATATTCTAACCACAAACAAACCGCTCCAGGGTTCGTTTCAAAGCGTACCGAGACCACCTCTTCAAGCAGGTCTCGGTAAGCTTATTTGGTCCGCATTGGTGAGCACTCGAGTACGATTGCTGCATTATCACCAGCCCAAACGAACCACACCAAAAGGGGAAACGAACTCTAGTGCGATTCAATTGAACTAAATAAGGCAGGTGTGAAAGCACCCTTAGTTGCCTATTGGAGAAATGCTTGAATATTAAAGGCAGAAAATGGTCAAAACAACCAAATTTATTATGTAGTTCACTAATGATAATATATTGCGTACTACAAAAAGGTAAACATATGACCCCGAATATGAATGCAAAGCAATAAATTATTCTTTTAGAATTTTGTACAATGTATAAACGCACCCAAAAGTGAATAGTTCCTCATCATTTACTAACACTCAAGTGGTTCTAAAACTTTTATGATTTTTTTTTCACTGTTGAACACAAAATAATATATTTTGAAGAATATTAAACAAAATCAGAGGAAAAAAAATGTCGATATGAACGGCAGCAAACACAATCCGCTCCTAATAACTACACAAATTCAACCCCTAAAATTCAAATTCTTAACTTGTATTCAGACTGAGTGGGGGCACCAAAATAAAGACTCATAAAATTCCTAATAATCAAACAAAGGGGAATGAACAAAACAAGAATGATGATGGATCATGATGGATGATGAATGATCAAGGCTTTTATTCTCATAAACCGCGTGGACGTGAATGCGTCTTGACTGTTCTGATTGGTTAAAGCAGACGTCTCACATCAGCACGCTCTTTCTGGCACTCTTCCTTTTGCGTTCACACAGCGCAGCATTCTGGCAAATAACTGGTAATGTTACAACTTTTCTTTCTGGAAAATAGCTAGAACGAATTTACCTGCATTTTCAAAAAGGGCCTGTTCACACATAGCGACCTTTTTTGAAAATTAACGGCAATTTTCCGTAAAGGTCTGTATGTGTGAAAGTGGCTAATGGCACAATCTATTTCAGTTGCCTCAAAATCACAATGCCCCAACGATGCACCTTAACACGGCTCTTTTTCAGACCACACACATGGGCACGCAAACACATTTGCTATTTAAACGTGGCGCAGCACATGAAAATGATACATGTGCTGGTCTGAAAATAGCAAAAAAAAAAAAAACACTTGCGTCGTGCCTACCACGGGGTGAATGATAGATCCCTTTCTGTTGACCATAGTCTAAGATTGATGAAGACTTTCGGCAGAATTTATTTTAAACTGGATTTTGTACATCTTGCTTTCATTTTCAATAAACTTCTCATTACAGGACCCTTTACAAATGACTTTCCCTTTCCAAATCCACTCAGCACTTAAAACAAAAGTCAGACGAATTAGGGAGAGAAAACAGCCCAGCTGAAGAACTCCTTGAATAAACATTGTTTCTTCAACCCAGTCCGATGTTGACAATGTTGCCTCGTCATGTCCGTCTGTGCCAAGACTCTCATGGGGGGAGGGGTGGGTTTACAAGACAGCAAGAAGGACAGAATCTTTCTCTGCTCAACATCTGCTTGGCTCTGGAAAACCCAGTCATCAGTTCTGCTGCAGTAATACGAGACTGAGCTCTTCATGCCAACCTTTAACCACCAGCCCACCCCTGTGACCTGCACCATGACTCAACACATCATGACCAAGCAATGAGAAGAAGAGCAGATAAAGCCACACTGCAAAAAACCATCTTAGGCCACTTCATATTTAAGACCATACGTTTCTATGACCTGCATCATATGTATGAAATTTCTGGAATGACATTGTGTGTAAATACTGTTGTTGATACTGGGCTTGGGAAGGGTGGGGGGGGTAGAGCGATGATGACATAAGCCAGACGGCTTGGATTACAAGGGATCCTTCCTAAAATCTAATTAGCCCATGGCTGCTGAAGCGGCGTGGAGAGACTGGGTGGCTGTGACAGCACCTTCGTCTCAGAAGCTCCAGGATGGCGTGGGTGAGCTAACCTTTCTCTCTGACATTTCACACTAGACCCACACCGCTCGTCCTCCAGTTGGACATCATTCCAGAAATACAAAGCAAGATCAAGGCATCTGGCATCATATATGCTGCTCGAAGGCAACTACATGGGTTAAGAGGAAGCATGTAAGCGTTAAGTTGGCTAGCAAGCTTATGAGAGAGTATAATCTTGGCAGACGTGGCCGAATCAATGCTAGCAAAACAAGCCAACACTGTGAGGGACATCTGGCACTTAAAGAAAAAAAAAAATCAGAGCGAAAGCAAATTTGGGCTTTGAATCCTCCCTCATATTCTCTCACTCAGCAGAATTAGAGTGGCATGAAATGCTTTAGACATTAAGAGAAAAGCCTAGTGGGAGTATGTTTATTTAGAGTCTCTGTTTATTTAGATTAGATGTAGAGGATAGACTGGAGTCGATTTTCATTCAGCTTTAATTTTCTAATTTCATTTGTAGATTTAGTACATTTAGAATAGCCGACATTTATAATGACAGTCAAATTAAAAATGTTTGACTGGTAACTGAAAATGTTCCATCCAATAATCATATTTTATAACCGCTCTATAAAAGCATTTAAACAGATTGAGTATTAGTTAATTATAACAACAGATCTAGTTTTGGGCCTCACGCCAATATCGGTCTTGCCCACTCAATAGAAATTTAGCATCTGTACATTTTACTGGTTAATTTTGAGTTTGTGCTTCACTTTTGCCAGCCAAGTTAAAAATACGAATTGGTGTCATTCTAACAGAAAGTGATGTGGAGAAAGACAGCAATTTCTGATTCTATAAGAAACAGCTTTACTTTAAATACTCATGAGAGGAAACAATTCAATGACAGAAGCATCAAACATCAGAGATTTCAAGTGAGTGTTTTGGTTTAAATGCTAGTCATCTACCAGGAATATCCTTAATTCACTTTGTGAATGTAATCAGTCTTTACAGCTGCCTAACTGATAAGATGATTTCTATAAATCCCAGAATATATGCTTTAAGGGAGTACGATGCAACAACACATGCATATATTGACATATTCAAATGCAAATGACTACTCATTTATAAGTTGCGATGAGAATACAAAAGTATGTAAGCATATAATCATATGCTGCATTCGATGCTAATTTGAAGTGCTCGTTTGTGAGATGTTTTAATGCATTTGAAATTAATTTCAGGAGTTTCAAGACCCTGGCTGTTTCTTAATGTGTGTTCTTCAGTGTTGTTCTCATGTAACATCAACTGCCAAAGTTCAGTTCCAAAACTCAAGACTGCAATAACAGAGGATGTGTGAAACTTCCCGGATGTGTTGTTGATGGAGGACGTATGGATGCAGACTTGAGCACCAAACTCGCTCTAGGCCTCTCAGAAGTCATTGCGACTGGAGGTGGGAAGCGCAACATTTTACATAGATTTATTAAAGTTCAGAGATATATTTTTATCTCAGGAGTTTCCCTAAATGAAATGGTGAATGTAAACCACCATGAAAATCTTAATAAAGGCATGAACACATTAAGGGTGTTTATTTGCTGAAATTCATATTAAAGTCTGTTTTTTTTATTTTTTTTTATTGCGCAACGTATATTTGTAAAGTCTTTATGCATAGTATATACTGTGAAAAGGGAAAAAAACAATTAATCATTGTTTGAATGCTGTAATGTTTAAATAATCAGGACCATCAGGAAGAACACAGCATCTCATTTCTCACATGACGTGTTCTCTGTTCTCGCGGTTTCCCGAGTTAGTTTTTTCAAGGTGACTTGGCAAGTCCGGTCTTCACAAGAACGCACGTCTGTTCTCTGCGTTCTTGGAATTGAGAAACAGCCCCTTTAAAGCAGGGGTCAACAACCCTGTTCCTGGAGACCTACGCTGCTTCCAAAATCGCATACTTCCACACTCATACAGTACGCTAAAATCAGTATGCGAGCCGAGTAGTATGTATGAATTCATAGAATTTAAAAAACAGTATGCGAAAAATACCCGGATGACTTACTAATTCCGGCGAGATTCTGAAGTGCGCATTCTATGCACGTTGTGCTATCCTATGATGCCCCGCGAGAGAATTCATGAATGGGAGTGAAGCGACGCAACTGACGCAGATAGGTCACGTGACCATGACAAAATGGCGGATATAGCAAATTTCATTCTTACTTTATACATACATACTTTACAGAGCGTACTTTTCTAACAGCCGAGTAGTACGTTTAAATTCAAATGCAGCTCTGCTTTAGCTCTGCATAGTTTAGCTCCAATTCTGATCAAACACACCTGAACCAATTAATTAGGACCTGAAGCAGCACTTGATAATTACAGCCAGGTGTGTTTGGTCAGGGTTGCAAATGAAATCTGTAGGAAGTTAGATCTCCAGCAACAGGGTTGGCCACCCCTGCTTTAAAGGGATAGTTCCCTTTAAAGCAAAAAAAAAAAAAAAAAAAATACTTCTTAAGATTTTTTTTTTTCTCACCATGGCTAGTTTTACACCTACTCTAGATGTCAACGGTTACAGGTAACATTCTTTACAATATTATTTGTGTTCAACAGAAAAAAAGTGAGTGAACTATCCTTTTAAAAGCAATTCAAGGCCGACTGTATTTATAAAAGACGGAAGAAAAGAGACCAACCATCAACCAATTATAAAATTACCCCAGTATTTTCCTGATTTACCTGAAAGCAAAGACCCTGCTTTAACTACAGTGTTAATGGAACTAATGAAATAAGTTCCTGCCCAATCAAAGTTATGTTTGTTACTATAGTACAGAAAGTAAACTGAGTAACTAAATGTAACAAGTTTTGTCTTTCCAACATACAAGAAATACAAATAAAACTGATCGGGAGTATCCTTTAAGTTATGTATTACTTGAGGTATTGTATTTTCCGGTGATCAGTTTCGACTGGAAGTGCATCCACTGCGTAAAAACATATGCTGGATAAGTTGGTGGTTCATTCCTCTGTGGTGATTAATAAAGGGAATATTGTATTGTATTAATGTATTTCGAGCAGATTACTTAAATTGTAATGTTGTTCTTAAATTTTTCTTGTTTCTTTTTAAGATTCTAATTAATCTTTACTTATAGCCTTGTTTGGTATACATACAGAACTACAGTTATAATTTACAATGTAGATAGAATAATCAAGAAAAAAAGAAAACTTTTTTCATCTATTCAATAAAAAAATATATTAGCTTAGAAAGAGCATGACATTCTACAGAAAACAGTATGAGAAATAATATACTTTGTGATATTAATTGAACTGCAAGTAACATGGAAATACGATTCATTTGTTGAAATACATGGAAATTAATCATTCTTACATTTTGACTCAAGTGCATATCTCTGAATCAAGTTTGACACAGACCTTTTTCTTTAAGGTCACCACATACACTAAAGCCTAATTTATACTTCTGCATCGAGTGATCGCTGTATCCCAAGGCGCATACCTTGTATGTAGCGACATAGTTGTGAGCAGCTATACTTCTGAATGCTAGTAGGCAGTTCTATGTTCCAGCGTGTTGAGTTTCTTTACCAGTATTTTGACTACAGTGGAAATCACGCAATGCTACTGGAAAAATAGCTTAACTCACACTCATTCAGTGTAAAAAAAGACTTCAAAGCTGTCATTATTTTATGACTAAAGTTGTTAAACCAACAAAACAAATGTATCCATCTGTGAGACTCAAGACTTGTTAAAAACTCCGCCAATTGGCCTTTCTCTGCTCCCATGGCTCTCAGACCCCTTCACACTGGTCACTGCTATCAGGCCAGCTAATCACAGATGCAACAACAAAGAGGATGCAACTGTGTGAAGGCTAAAAGCTGATTTATACTTCTGCGTCAAGCGCATGCTTCGGCGCAGCCTTCTCGTGGTCGCAGAGCCCTCGTCATGGTTAACGCACACCCACCTCTCAAAAAATGTAACTACACGCCGCAACGAAGCTTAGTGCAAGCTCTGTGACTGGTCGGTTTGGTAGCTGTGAGCCATGTGGGCAGGACCGAGAGCCACACATAAACAAGTGCTGAGTGCCATGAAGTTGCTCTAGATTGAGACTTTTGTTTTGCGTTTACCTTATGATTAATGTTCCGCCGGTTCCCACCTCTGAATGAGAGTTTTAGCTACTTGTACATTAAGGTAGCATTCAGAAAAAACAAAACATCCGCAAAGAAACTTGACACTGAGCAACATAAAATCCCACTGCCAGCTAGCGTTTCGGAAGTGCTATTGCAAAGCAACACAAACAGCATGCAGAAGTATAAATGCACGGCTATGTGCAAGGCAGGCACCAAGGGTCACACCGATCACTCTACGCAGAAGTATAAACGAGCCCTAAGCCAGACCTACAGTGTAGACTCAACACAGACGTATTAATTGGCCATGAGGTTCAATGAGACAGAGTTGCAAGATCATTGAAGAAAACAGCAGGGAATATAAAAATAATCCCGAAATATATCTGCCTCACAAAAATAAACTTGAATTACGGCCAAAAATAATACAGATCAGAACCCACTACTGCTCGGTAGGGCGGGGGGTGGGGAATGAAAAATCTGCTCAAAGATGCTTTTAATAAGAGAGCATGCCAACACTACCAAAAAAAGAGAGTGCACTGTTTAAAAGCAGAAGATTAAACAGTACAGCCCAAAGAGAATGATGATGCCAAAACCAAAGTCCTGGGTTGCATGAACTTGCTAACAATTTGCTTTAAAAGAAAAAGCAAATGCAAAAATGTACATGTAAAATCATCAATTCGAGTTTGCAGGATGAGTTATGCACCAAAGTTGATCAAATCCTTATGAGAGACAGCAAAAATGATGCATCACTGACAGGTTGGAAATCTGGAAGGTGCAATAGATTAATGAGTGTTAGCAAGCCTTGTCGTTCACAGGCCTGAGAGACAGGAATATCAACCTGAAAGCAACAACAAAAAACTGAAGCTTTAAGCCTAGAGCAAAGGGTTTTTAAAGAAGATAATAGCCCAGCTAACAAAGTACTCATTAAAATAATCATCTTTGATTTGCGTTATTGCTGACATTTGTTTCTGGTTGTCTTTGAAACGATCAACACCGAAACAATAAAAACAGACTAGGTGGTAAAGAAAGAAGGAAATCATTGGGGACTCTGGAGAAACCCGTGAGAATACGCCTGAATATCTTGAGCTCTTGGGGAGGGAGTGGCTCAGTTCACAGAGCAGAGTCGCCAGGATTCTGACAAACAGGTCTTGCTGTTTTCAGCATGACTGCGGTCACCATCACAAATGCCTTTTTTCCCGCTCAAAGAACAAGGGCAGTCGTGGCGCACCGTGTGGAATTACTTTGAACACATCATTCAAAGCCCTTACGTAACTGAACTGTGCCACGCTTTTTTTTTCTTCTGTCTCCGTAACATGTCTTTGTTGTCTGTCTGTATGGCACAGCATTAGAGCAAGTGGACAATTCCCAAACTATCCCTATACTAATGATTATAGAGTAGCTTCTTGCTATGGTTCGATGTTCAATTCAATTCCCAAAACCTCTGTGCGGCTTCAAAAGATCCAAGATAAAAATCTAAACTACAGCAGTGAAAGACCATTCAGGCCCTACACATCTTCAAAACAACATGGCAACTCAGAAAGCATTAGGGCCTTTTTTATTTAATCTTTAGCACTAAGCTAAATCTGCAGACTGAAATTATCTTTGAGCCCACAGACGATTAAGCTTACAGACAACCACTGAAAAATTAATAAAAGAAATCCATCAACTGCACAACCGAGGAGGATAAAAGACCGGCTGGGCCGGCGTAGCCAGTGACTTCATCAACTTGTGTGCTGAAAGAATGCAAAACTAGCGGCAGAATGTGCAAGTTGAATGGCAGCAAGGTTTGCTAATCACCTACTAATGAGGTATCTCTGAATGGTTCTCAGAGGAAGAAAAAACCCAAAGAGGAGCGGGGAGAAAACAGCAGGTTGTAGCAGTTACCCACTCATTCACACCCACAGTGCAACAGCGGGAATATCAATACATAAAGGATCATCATGTAGCCTGAAGCCTCAAAAAAGCTGCCCACATGAGCAAAGGTCAACAAGTATGACACACAAACACAGACAATAATCTGAGCTCATAATAATGATGATGATGATGATGATGCATCTTCTAACGAAAGCAAAGACCCTCACAGGCAATAAGGCATTTTTTTCCTCAACAAAGGTCTCCACAAGATTGAACTTAAAGGATATCTGCCGTCCGTGCTTGTCAATGGGCCTGCGGTGCGGTGAGTTGATCCGATTGCGGTCTCGATGGACCCTCTCCACCAGACCATGGTGTCTGGTTCCTCGAACAGAGTCCAGGCCTGAGGGAAACGTCCCCTGTGGAGAAACCATTATCAAAATGCGTTTAATAGTAACAGCATGAAAACTGTCAATGAAAAGTTCATTATCAGTTCATATTTTAGGACTTTAATGTAAAGCATGCAAAACACACACGCACACATAACTGAAGTACTCAAAGTGCCACCATTATCCCCAGGTGAATTCAGTACACTCTGCAGTGCTTTTACCTCTCTAGGTTTGGTTTCTCATGGCGCACAAAAAGTAGGGATCACTGCTCGATGTCTCAAAGAAGCTTTATTCGCAGCAACAAGAGCACTTTCACCTGAAGGTATACAACACTGTTCTCCATAGGGGAAAGACACAGATACAGTTCTCCAGCTCTTGGAGCGCACCGCTGTATCAAGTGTACTTGTGGGGATTGCCGTGTACTGAAGGAGTAGGCAAAGTGAGGGCACACTAAGAGGTAGGTACAAACACACTCTTTGTTTTTTTTTAAGGAGAAGGTTTGCAATTACCATCTCTTGACATTGTTTATCTGACGGTAGAAAAGCAGAGTATATGGCTGCTGCTTATCTACTCCTAAATGAACATGACTAGCTGGACAGATTTAGAAGACTTGGATAGGTAGATGGAGGGCAAGTCGGGTACCTGGAAATCAGTGCTGGCATTGCCTATCTGGTTGACGTTGGGAAGCGAGCCACCGTAGTACTGTGCCCGATTCTGCGACAGACGGAGCTGCTGGATCTTCTGGAACTGCACCTTTAACCAAGACGAAGACAGACAGTGAATGCATTTGAAGAAGTACAAAGAGACTCTGATGAGGCATTTATGAATGTTTTTATGAAATTTGTATTGAAGTCAAGTGGAAATTCTTAGAAATGCGTTTGGTTTTAAGTTGCACTTCTGAGCACAAGCGGGAGGACAGTGGGCATTTTGTTGTTTGGCAAAAGATAAACAATGAAAATTATCAATTCCGATCAGGCACAAGCAAATCAGGAGGCGTTCCTTCCTCCTTCTAACCAAAGGACAAAATTTGAATCTCAAAGACTGACCTCATTTAGTGATATCAATGGGTTACTACACATAAGCTCACAGCATTTTTTTAACCTAACACAGTTATATTTTTACACCAGGGCATAATTAAATATAAACTTCATTGGAATAAGGTTGCATTTTACAGAGATTCTAACCCAAGATCATCCAAGGTGAAACAGACCATTTTTTTCCATCAAATAATTTTTTAGTCCTTGATGATTCATAAATGAATGAATGGCTATTTTACAACTACTAGTTTAAAGAGAGTAAATTAAAAACATATAAAGGCAAAACAAAATTAAAGCCCAAGGCTCTTGGTAATACTTTAGGCCTTAAAAAAAAAAAGATTGGTCTGTGCAAGAAACTGAAGATTATTTGTTTATAGCTTATATTGTATTCACCGGTTTGATTGCTTCTATTGTCTCATTTGTAAATCACTTTAGATAAAAGTGTTTGCTAAATGAACGAATGCAAATGTAGCAAACATTTACAACATAATTAGCTTTTATCCACAGTCTCAGCAAACAGTCCTAAACATTCATAACAGGCGCTAGTTTCCTGTTCCATAATGAGCAGAGTTGGGCGTAACATGTTCCACAATAACGCATTACTGTATTCTAAGAATATTTTTGGGGAACGTACTGTAGTAATGTAACAAATTACATTTTAAATTTGTGTTATTTGATTACATTTACTAAAGTCAATGTAATTGCGTTACTTGCGTTACAAATACAGCTTTTAGAAGAAAAAAAAAAAAATTATTTTAAATCACATTTTTCGCAGCACCGTCGGTTAATAAGCATGCACTTTTAAATTGCTGGAGAACACAAGCTGAAATGATTGCTGACAAGAGTGGTTGCTTCAAGTGGAAATACAGACATTACGATCTTCATCGAGCGTAAAAACCAAAATATTGCTGTGAAATTCAGTCAATGTCCAGTCCCTAAAGACCTTTCAACTGTTTTTAACATGACCAGCAACTTGATCAAGCACTTGAACAGAAATCATTGCATGACAATACTCATCACCAAGGAGGACACCGGTGCCTAAAAACACAGCCTAAACAGGCTAAATTTTATTTTTGTGCAGAATCGGGAGTGAAGGTATCTTCTCAATTTGAAGAGAAGCATAGCTAATTATGGGGCCGTTCATATACTGCATCTTTTGCATGCGCAAGTTTGTTATTTCAAATGGAGGTGCACGGCTTGCGCACACATATTCAGAGTGCTTATTGCGCGTGTTCGCATTTTTCAGGCGCACCTCGAATAACGTGACAAGAACTAACTGACCAGCTTCAGGTTTTGTAAGGAATATACAGATTTCAGTAGAATAATTACCTCAGACAAACACAGAACACCCAAACACTGCATGTCAATGTTATTGGTATCCAGTTTTCTTCTATAAGCTTTTCTTTTGTGGAAAAAAAAATGTCAATAAAAAAATAAAAAAAAGATTTGGAACAAGTGAACTCTTTAAGTCTTTTGAATATGTCAAGCTGCTGTGATCAACCTTTTATAATATTTCACAGTTAATATTAAATTACTAAAAGAGCTGCAGTTTATTTTGTATTTTTATAGGTATAATTTATGTTTTAAAAGTAACTTCAAAGTAAAGTAATTAGTAATCTGATTACTTTTTACATTAAGTAATTAGTAATGTAATCAGATTACAATTTTCCAGTAGTCAGTAATTTGTAATCAATTACTTTTTTTAAAGTAACTCACCCAACACTGATAATGACTTATGTACAGGCACAAATGCACATGTGAGCCGATGATGTTTGTTTACAAAGCACAGGAAGAACACGTGTGTTGCATTGGTTATTTAATTAGAATGACTGGCTTTTCAATTATTCCCAAGGTTTGACATACTTCCTTCAGTGACAGGAAACTCATGCTCCACGCTAACATGAACATGCTCATTTGCCAAGGCTGTGGATTAAAGATAAGAACTGTTTTGTTTTGCACAGACTAATTTTGCTGAGTAAGACCTCAAAGTATGATCAGGAGCCACAGGTATTAATTTGGTTTTGCCTCTTTATACTGAATTACCTCAACAGTAGTAGATGACTTGCATTTTATGATTCATCCAGGACTAGTTTTAACTAATAATCTTCTGTATTGTTTGACTAGAGTAAAAAAAGTAAATTAAACAGCAATTTCTGATTGTATTAACTACGCATTTAAAATAGTACTTTTACTTTGGTTATCTGCACAGTCTTATTTAGGTCTTATTTTAGTCTTATGAGGTCTAAAATGGAAACATATATTTTGTCAATATTGGACAAATCAACTAACTCTAGATTACCGTTTTTCAAAAAGAAGAACCACAAAACAACACAAAATATTCCCTCTCACTCTCTAAGAAAGATGTGGCTTTACTGGTGATACTGTTCCAGGCAGACAGCTCAGAAACACAGGCTCGTTAAAAAACAAGCACAGATCCTCGTTCTCAGCATACACTGAGGGGTCATGGTGATTCACATCCAGCCTTTCAATGTACGCCGTTATAAAAACAATGACACCCCAGCTGTGGAGCAGGACCAAGCTGCTTAGTGAAGCAGAGGATTTCCCTGGGGCAGCTCGCTTAAGCTTACGCTTTTCCTTTCCTCTGTCAACATCACACATTGAAGAGGACAGTCATTACATTTGAACAATAATATTTAGGCAAAAACATTTCAATTGCATGTAAAAGGTTCCATTCATAAAACATACATCATAAGTGTTTATATATATATATATATATATATATATATAGTCAATTAATGAACTATGGCATTAATCGAAAGCAGAAATCTGAAGGTTACAGTCATGTATAACTGACAATTAGGCATTAGGGCTGCACAATATGACATTGCAATATTTTGTTTTTCTGCAATATGCATTACAATATGAATGCAATTGTATCAGATAGCTTTAATAGCTCTATTTGAAAATAATTCATTAATTTAGACTGATTAGGGATTGTTCTGGTTGTGAATCATGCATAAGATATAACAAACAATTTAAAAGCATAGATTAATACAACAGCAAAGATAAAAAGTGAAACATACAGTGCTTTGTGGTTTTCTGGGGAGAATATTTGTATCTATTTAAACTACTTAAAATGTATGGAAACTTTACATGAAGTTCAAAAACATGAATCTTAAAATAATACTTTGGAGTACTGCAATGACTGTGACAGATCCAAGTAAAGAATCTGGGGATGATCTTTGATGACCAGTGACCTATCAAGCATTGTACTGCAAACACAACACAAGTTTGCACTATACAGCATTAGCAAGATCAGACCATTTCTCATTAAGTCGGCGGCACAGCTTCCAGTCCAAGCATTAGTAATTTCTATACTGGACTGTTGTAATCCTCTCCTAGCTAGTCTTCCGTCATCTGCTGTAAAATCTCAAAACTTAAAACTCTGATACTTGCATACAAAACAGCCAGAGGTTTTGCACCCACTTACTTTCATTTATTTCTACAGATCAAGCTCCCCTCCAGAAGCCTTTGGCTAGAATGTAAGCACCGCCTCGTGATACCATAGCAAATAGACTCTACATCACTTTCCAGAACCTTTTTATTCACTGTTCCTCACTGGTGGAAATACCATACAGATTTCTGAACAACAATCTTCAACAATCTTCTGAGCAAGCATCTTTTCCATAAACACTTAACATCAAAGTAAAAATAAACTAAATTCTTCCTTACTATAGCTTGTGTTTCAAAATAGCCATGTATTAGCAGCCCTTGACGTGAGAACTGTCTTTTTACTATGAATCGCTTGATCCCTTCGTCATAAGCTGGGTTTTCATCACCTTGTGTATTATGTGCATTATAATATTAATGTGCATTATGATGTATCGCATAAGAAAATGACAAATTAAAATACAAATCACTTAATTCACAAAAAATATTTACGCTAACATGAAGTGGTTTTGGGCTAGGTTGGAAAAGGGAGTTAATGCAAATAATGCGAGATGGAAACAAATTTACTAAATAAATTCTGGTGCAGCAATTACACCCACATTTGCAACCATCATGATCGCATTGCGGTTCTACAGATTTTACAGAAAGTTTCATGTTTTTTTATTTATTTATGCATTCATCCAAAAACTTATAATACTGAAGAGTTTTTTTAAAAGTGCTTTTTAATTACCTTTTTAAAAGTTTGATATTGAAAGATACACTGTCTTGGTGGGCGTTTTAAATTACGTACCAGGAAAAAAACTGCCAGTTCTTTTTTTCTGTTATTTTACATAGACTTAATTCTCTATATTATTATCTATAAAATATATGGTTTCAAACTGCAAAAATGTCAATCAAAGTCACTTTGTTAACTTGCAAAGTGGAACTTTCAACATCAAAAATAGTTAATACAGCATAAAAGGTCCCAAAATGCACCTAATTACCAGAAATAAACCTTTTCATTAAATTTTTTTTTTGTTTTTTTTTTTACAATGTACAGTACGTTACCAATACGATCATCTACTCAACAAACTAGATGGAAAGAACTAATTTGCATTTGTGATTTTTCCTTTTGTACTTTGAAAAGGTTTGCTTCACGTTAAGATGGAAGCCCAGCTATTGTAAGTTACTTTGGATATAACAGTTGGCTAAATAATGGTAAAAGGATCCAGAATGTGGAAGCAAGAGTTTCTGTAACAAAGATTATAATTAATTTGCAATGATTTCCAAGAGCCAGTCCTGTTGTTTGCCTACAAAATAACTACT